TAGAGGTAATGCAGTTCTAGGAAGCGGTGTGGCTGAGTTGTTTGATAACCAAAGTGGAATGAGGGTCAATCTCAATGAGATAGAAGAGATGAAGGATATAAACAGTAGTAGAGGATGGGGAAATGGAGCTTTTCCAGTCCTTGAGCGTTATAGCAGGAAACAAAATAGAAAGGAAGACCAGGCATTTGCCAGGAAAGACAAGTTGGGCTATTACAGTTTGAAGAAAAGTTATGAGATGAGCTTAGATACTGCATGGAGAGAATCTACTGCTCACCCAGGCTGGTATCTTCACTGTCCAATCCTGGGTGAATTGTTCCTAACAGAGGATGGCTCCCAGTCTGGCAGGCAGAGCTGTCCTTTAGGGGTGAACTTGCTTTTACTGCCCTCTTAATTTATAGTGAGAAATATAATTAGTCAAATGGACTGGACGCTTGTCCCCTCTGGTCAGCCTGTCATCTTCCTGGAGATTACTTATGTGACTGCAACATTCAAAGTCTTACCAGAAGTTGCTTGATGAGCACGGAATCATGGTGTGATGGGTTAGTTGGATGACCTTGATAGCTAATGTCACCTGCTCCAATGACCACTTAAATTTATGGTGAAGGAAGACAGGTTTTTCTTTTTTAATGGGCCAGTTATAGTGTACTCACCCTAAGCAGCCCTAGAGAGAGATGCCCACATTTTCTCCTGGAATCCTCTGTCACAATTGCCATGTCCGCCATTCTCCTGCTAGCCTGTTTCTTCAGAAAGCGTATACACTGATTGTAATGACCGAGGTATAAATTTTCTTAATATAATCACAATTTAGTCTTGCATTCTTGAGTTACATCCAAGTTACCTTGATTTGATTTTGGCTCTCCTGAGGCAATGGCCTCATGGTTGATCTTAGACAAGTAGCTTAGCTTTAGATTCTTCTAATTTGCTTTTCAAAAGGTAATCTTAACTTTAATGTGAAGTTTATACTACCTTTTTTTGGTCCTGTAAGAAACCCTTTGATTTTCTCATAATTACTTTAATAAAGACTCTATAATGATAGAGTGACTATAAAAAGCATGGCCTCTCGACTTAGCACAGTGCTAAGTGATGTGTAAGCATTTATCTTTTTTAATCCTCTCATGAGTGTATTATCCCCACTTAACAGATGTGGAAGCTGAGGCACACAGAAACTGAGTTAACTCTTCCAGGTTGATACTGTTAATAGCAAAGCTAGATGGAAATTCAACTGATAATTCCAGAACTGGCGCTTTTAGCTTTTTATTCAACACTGCTGCCTGCTACTACTCCCCAGAAAGGCATTCAGTGTAGCAGTAATAGAATGCTGCTGCTGCTACTAATGATGATAAGTATAGTTTCAGCTCCTATTGTATAGCAGGTACTTGACGGAAATTTTTATGAATCCTTATTGCATTCCTGTAATGTAGATATCATTTTTAAAATTTTGTTTCTAATTAAGGCTGAAGAGATCAAATAACCTTTAGAAAGTCTTATAGCAAGCGTCACTGGATTCTGATTCCAAAACTGAAGCTCAAAGGCATTGACAGATGAAGTTGGTAGCACACCTGGGGAGTAGCAAGTTGCCCAGTGTAGCTCAGGTCCAGAGGGCATGGTCAGTGAAGCTGCTGGGGCATCCGGGAGAGTAAAGGGGCAAAGGAGGATATGGTGTGGTGGAGATAAAAGAATCCTACCATTCTTTAGAGGGGAACAGATCATTCATAGATTTTTCTTTTCAGATAAGCGGCTTAGACGGGATAATGGTTCTCAGACATGACAGTACCTTGAATCTCTAAGACTTGGGGAAGAAAAAAAAATCAGTATGTAGTGTTTTTAAATTCAAAGCTTTGGAGAAGCACTCTGTTGTACCACCTACAACCTGTTTATAAATGAGAGTGCGCTAGTGAAGATGGGTAAAGTTTTGGTGGCTGGAGATCATTCTAGTCTTTTTAACTTTCCAGTGGGTGTATACGTGGCAGCAGCAAAGCCGGAAGTGGCCTCTGTTCCTTTGGCTCTCGGTCAGAAGCTATTGTACATCACAATACATCACCAGTCTCTTTAGCATCAGGTCCCTGGTGATCGATGTATTCAGTTACAGTATCTGATAAAATCATGACTATCCTGGTAGTTACTTTATGTACATCCTCTTGTCCTTAACAGTGAGCCTTTTGAAAAATTGGATTCATTAGGAAAAGGGAGTCTTTATTCCTCAGTGTACAGATGGATATGTTTGAACAATGGCAAAAAGCAATGTACTTGGGGCCCAAAAGAAAAAGTATCCTCTTCCTTTCCTTCCTATTCTTTTTGCCTGTTTTTAATGGAATGTCAAGTATAATTGAATGTGTCTCTTGGGAGTGAAATCTATATTTGATTAAGCTAATGGTATGGAGAATAGCTGGGGCAGGTTTAGGGCTCCAGGAGTAGGAGTGGTTTTGGTGTAGTCAAGCTTTTGCAAAGTAATTTTGTAGTCCAAGGTACAGCATCATAGACCTTAGTTTTGACAAAGACTTAAAAGTAATCTGAGCTAACATCACGTGCTGCGGAAAAATTTCTTCTTCACCGTCTTTCCCAGACAGGCGGTGTGGCGCTTCCACTTGAGATCTTCCAGCAAGTTCGCTAGCCTAGAAGCGTTAACACTCTTAAGTAGGCAAGGACTATGGGGGTTTTCCTTCCCACTAAATCCACGGTATGTGGCCTTACTTTGTTGTAGAGTAGCTCTAATTATTGGGAAGTGCCACTTATTGTCGTTTCTTCAAGCCTGGGAATCAAAAACATCCAAAGTTAAATCTCCTTTCTGCCACTTACTATGTGACTTTGGGCAACTTCCTGACCCCTCTGTTTCAGTATTTGCATGTGAAACAAGAAGACAATACCTATCTAGTGCATTTGTGAGTTGTGTTCTGAGTCCTACTTGTGGAATTGTTTATAAAAGGATTAATCATAATGTCTATAAAGAATCTGACACACAGTAAGCACCTTACGTGACTGTTTCCCTTGGGCCTAATTCTAATCTTTTGCTCAGCATGTGGTGTTTGATTATGAGTTCAGATCCCAGTGGTAATCTGTCCAGGACAGAGAGAAATAAAGCTATTGCTTTATATGTATGGGGCAACATATGAGTTCTCTTTAAGGAAGATAAGATAGGATGTGGACAACCCAGTGGGAAACTCAGGAACTGTGCAGTAGCAGTGGCGTACCTGCCTTCCTCAGTCTATGGTTTCTAATGGTTATGAAGAGCGAGATCATTAGGTTGCCTGGAGGCGTGAAGAGAGAAGGGAAATACAGGCTTATGTCAGAATTCATTAGCATCAACGAAGACTTTTAACCCAAACAACTGGTGGAAAAATGGAAACTTCAGTTACGCTATTGTTTGGTCTACATTAAAGCAATCAGTTGCAATGACTCCCTTTAGACTCACTGGTTTTATTTTTCCACTTTGTTTATAAACAGTCTAAATAATTAATTTCTTTGAAAGTGACTATCTGCTGCGACTATTTATAATGCCTATTTTAACACTACTTGTTATGCATGAGTAATAGATTCAAAGGCTCAGGAGGGTGACTTTTGTCCTTGCCCTGATGTTTATAAGAGATTCGCAATGTTGAGAGAAGGAAAAGCTGCGTTTTCTCCACTCCACCATTCTTGCCCGTTTCAGAATGTGCTTATTTTATGAAAGAAGCCTCCCCAAATATTCTCCTGGGAGGACCTTCATTTTGAAAAACATGTTATTGATTTTTAGGTAACCTCTAAAATATTATTGCAGTCTTTCTGAAAACCTCTTAATGGGGATGTATAACTTCCACAAAGTAGCCTGGGCAAATTCCAATGATAGCACTTCACTAGTAGTTTCTAGGAAAAACAATAATGCTATCTCTTCATTAAAAAAAAAAAAAAATCACGGTGGCGGGCTGGCCCGGTGCTGCAGTGGTTAAGTTTGCACGTTTTGCTTCGGTGGCCCGGGGTATGCCAGTTTGGATCCTGGGTGCAGACATGGCACCACTTGGCAAGCCATGCTGTGGTAGGTGTCCCACATATAAAGTAGAGGAAGATGGGCATGGATGTTAGCTCAGGGTAAGTCTTCCTCAGCAAAAAAGAGGAGGATTGGCAGAAGATGTTAGCTCAGGGCTAATCTTCCTCAAAAAAAAAAAAAATCTAAAGAGAAAAAGGGCAAATATTCTAAGGTGGTCTGGCTTATCTGTCTGATGGGGATTCAGTAATGCCATCACTGTAACAGTGGAGTGGGTTGCTTTTGAGAGCCTATAGCATAAATCTAAATGTTTTTATTTTACACCCTAAGGGACTTTACCAAATATCATATATGTTTTCCACAAACTGTCTGCTATTGGTATTGTTTTAAAATAGAAAACTTCATTTCTGCTTCACTTATATTTAGTGTGGTTTTGGTACTAAGTGTATATCAGATATTGATGAATTGGCAGCCACATATAGCTGAGTAGTAATAATAATCCATTAAATTGAGAACTCTGTTTTTCAGCTATGCTGGATAACTGAGAAAGTGTGTGTGTACACATGTGTGTGTGTACACATGTATGTGTGCAAGTGTGCGCCTGTCCTTGAGTATCATGAAAACCTGCTAGTGTTATTCCCCCTTCTTCAAAACTTTCTGTTCTATCATTTTGACTCTGTTTGGTCAAATGCCTACAAATCCAAGGAAATAATTTCAAATCCGCATTATCTAAATTTTGAGTATTAATAAGCACTCTAGTAAATATGTAAGATAGCAATGAATTTAACTACTTTTAGTTTAAAGTGTTTCTTTTAAAGAGTAACTTGTCACAGATTATTTCCCTAGGGACAAAAAACTTAACATTTGAATGTTTTTTCAAAAAGATTCTATTAGGAATATTAATTTGATTTATATTAAAATACAAAAAGATTGATTTTTTAAATGATTTTCTTGTAGCTATTTTGAATGTTATCTCTTCCCTACTGTGCTTTTACAAATAAGTATTAATTGGGTATATGATATATGTTGTTTATTTTTGTAGTTAAAACAGAGCCAATGAGCAGCAGTGAAATAGTTTCAACAACAGCAGACGGGTCTTTAGACAATTTCTCAGGTTCAGGTAAGGAATAAAATTAGATTTTCACATTGATACAAAATATTATTTTTCCTAGTTTATTATATACAAATATATATATGTGGGTGTATGTATACATGTGTGTGTGTATGTGCATGTGTACATGTATATTTTGTAGAATATAGCATTTCTCAGTCACGTGTTTGAAGTTGTGATGTTTTTATTCAGCGTGATGAAGTGTTTGCTGAAAATGTTGGTGTCCTCTAAAGGAGATGAAATCAAAAGGGGTTTGTTCTTCTCCTTTCTCCTACTAAACTCTCCTTCTTATGTTAATGACTCCTTCCCTTTGTCTCTCAGTTGTATGATTTTTCCAATCACGGAAATTTAGGTAGGCAGAACTTAGCTTCTGATACCCCGTAAGCAGGCTCACCCAGCCATCCTCTTAAATAACTATTATGTCAACAAGAGATCTAAATTAAATAGACTTTGTAAAGCAGCTTTCATCCTAAAATTAGTTTTCAAAGTCTTTCACATTAAGAAAGCCTGCCTCCAACAAACAAAATATCCAAGTTTCAGGTCTATGATAATGAAATTACTGATAAGAAAGTGACCCTGATAACAAAGTAACTGTGAGGATATGATTATATTTTTGCCACATTGCCCAGCTTGGACTATTTCAATTAAAAATTATTTCTATCAGAAGTAATTCTTAAGTTGTAACGCTTTTCATATTGTCTGCTCTGTTTGTAAAAACCTCTCAATCGGAAATGCTATACTTTCATAAATTTGTGATTGATTTAATCTAGCTCTCAGGATCATTTAATGCATACCACAATGAAAAGGAATTACACATAGATATACAATGAAATATTAATGCACAACTTTTATACTAATGATGCCAGATGGAAGCAGTAAGGAAATAACAAAAGGAGTTACAGTTTTTTTCGTAAAACATTTACTAGAATTTGACTTATGCTAGGCAGTGTGCTTGATACTATTATGGATTCAAAGATATATGAGAATGGTCCTGGTTTGGGGCTTAATGGGTTGCAAAGATGACCATACCATCACAGTACAGCTTGATACGGCCAGAGGGAAGCCCAAGCATCCCCAAGAAAACCCAGGAAGGACCCAACAGCGACGGAGTTGGGGTGGGCTGGTCAGGGAAGGTTTCCTGGAGGAGATGCCTGCACTCAGCCTTAAAAAAATGAGTAGGAATAAAGCACATGTAAAGCTGGGGAGAGGGAGCTAGACAGATGGAGCATCCCATGGGGGGAGACCAAGGCAAAGAGGCATGGAACTTGGAGCAACTGCTAATGGTTTGGCATTCTTGGTGTGTACGGTGTGAGCAGTGAGGGGCGTGCTGGAGAGGGAGGCAGGGGCCAGAATCTAAAGAGGCATGTGTGTTCCGCATGGCATTGTATTCTGTACTGAGTGCAGTGGGAGGCATCAGAGACCCCATTCACCTATAGAATCGTGACTGGCAGGATGGAAGGGAGGATGGAGAATTGAAGTGGAGAGACCAGTTAGATTTTTTGCATTAACTTGGGCAAGAAATTCTGAAGACCTGAGATAAGGTGCTGGCAATGAATGTGGAAAGGTGGTGGATTAAGATGTATTTATGAAATAGAATTTATGGTCATGGTGACTAAGGAGCATGGGGAATGAGTGAGGCAGAGAGAAGTTAAGAATGGAGGAATGCAAGAGGAACGTGATGGAGACAGGGGCGGTGGCTTCGGTTTGGGGCATGTTGATGATGAAGTAACATCCACCTGAAGGTGTCAGAGCTAAGGAAAAATCTGGAATGGAAATTCTGAAAGAGTACGGAGAGTTAAAGCCAGCGGGGTATAACAGGGCTGAAGACAAAATCCAGGGAAAACCAGTATATAAGAAATAGGCGGAGGATGAAATGGAAACACAGGTAATTGGGGAAGAAGGGAGAGCGTTGAACTGGAAGTGAAAGCAGGAAGAATTTCAGAGAAGAGCTGTTCTAAATGATAGATTTGTATTCAGCTTTTAAAATAGTTTTTTAGGGGCCGGGCCGGTGGCTGAGCGGTTGAGTTGGCGTGCTCCTCTTCAGCGGCCCAGGGTTTTGCTGGTTCGGATCCTGGGTGCAGACGTGACACTGCTCGTTAGGCCATGCTGACATGGCGTCCCACATGCCACAACTAGAAGGACCCACAACTAAAATATACAGCTATGTACTGGGGGGATTTGGGGAGAAAAAGCAGAACAAAAAAAAGAAGAAGATTGGCACAGTTGTTAGCTCAGGTGTCAATCTTTAAAAGAAATAGTTTTTTAAAAAACTTAACTACATGAGAAAATCTTAACTATATTAAGTGAAAAGCATGTTACAAAAGAGTAATATTTTCAGTATAATCACAGTTTTTTTTAAATAAAAAATATTTATGTGTGTGTATATTTGAGTGTATGTGTATAAAAATTAATGATGGCTCTCTCTGGATGGTGGAATATAATTAGAATGTTATTTCTTCTGCTTTTGTCTAAATTTTTTTACAATGTGTATGTATAACATTCATACTTTTAAAAAGTAATAATTTTAAAGTAATAATTTTAATAATTTTAAAGAGAGAGTTTTTTGAAAGTACCTATAGAAAATAATATTGTATTACATCACTGTTTTTCCTGATTTTCATAACCGTATTGTGGTGAAGGAATTCCTTGTTTTTAAGAAATATACACTGAAGTATTTATGAGTAAAGGGACATCATGTCTGCAACTCCAAAAAAACGTGAGCTGTCCATGTGTGTGCATACACACATATATAGAAAGAAAGAGAAGAGAGGATAAGGCTGATGTCATAAAATGTTATCATTTGGGGAATTTGGGTTAAGGATATTCATGAAGTTCTACTATTCTTGCAACTTTTCTACTAGTGACAAATTACGTCAAATAAAAAATGAGAACTGTCAATGGGTTTAGCCTACAGCAGTTCCAGTGGACAAGTGGGCTTTGCATCCCCCCGTGCCCATTGGCCCACATGCCCCAGTTCTGTGTCGCCAACATAGTTCCTAGCAGATAGTATGTGTTCATCAATTTTACTGAGTGGATGGATGATTTAATGCATAAGGTGAGGAAGTGGAGACAGGGAAGACAAAAATGTCTTTCAAGGACATAAGTGGTAGAAGGAGAAGAAGAGAGATGGGCCATTAGAAAGAGGGATGTAGGGTTGAGGATGGTATTCAGAAGGTCAGCATGGTTTTGGCTGCCAACACAAACTTTGTAGAGCTGGAGGTTAAAGGTGTAGGCACACTGGGGATAATTGATGGAGGGAGGTCCCTGATGGGACAGGGATGGCTTAAGTCCAAAACAGAAATGGATCAGCCTAGAAAAGGAATAACTTTTTCATCGAAACATCAGGGAAGATGGAATGGGAAGTAATGCAGATAAGTTTGAAGGGAGGAGGAGGCAACACCTTGAGGGAATTCCTGCCTGATTCCCCTGTTCAAACTACCCAGGGCTCCCATTCATCTCTGAGTCCTTGCAATAGCCTCGAACCCCATCAGACTTTACTGCCTGCCTCCCTGCTTCCCGCGCTTCCTCCAGTCAGGGCCTCGGCACTGGCAGGCCCTCTGCCTGGAACACTTCCCTATTCACCTGCCTGACTCCCTCACCACCTTCAGTCTGTGCTCACATCTCCTCTTCTCAGCGAGGCTCTCCCTGACCACCCTACTCAGTGTCACAAAACTCTCACTATAGACCTCCAGTCTCTCTGACGTGCTAACTGCCCCCCACCCAGTAACACTTAGAACCTTTTGCAAACGTTACCATTTACTTGTGTATTAGGTTTATGGTTAATCTCTCACCTCCACCAAAACGTAAGCTCGTGATGGCAGGGATTTTGTCGTGTTTTGTTCGTTTGTATCCCCAAAACCTGAAAAGTACCTGGCATATATTAGGCACTCAGGTGATTTGCTAGATGAATTAATGACTACATGAATGAATGAGTGAATGAATGATGGCTTCTACATTCTCCTCTGAAGTGACTCAAAATGAGAGTGGTGATAGTCTTATGAGCTTGAAGAGAGGGAGAAGATTGAAATAGATGCCGTGAGGCGTTGGAAAGTTTGAGGCTGTTCAGAAACATAAAGGAGGATTGACAGGTGAGCCAAAGGTCCAAACAAAGGCGGAACTAATGAATGTGCAGCCTTTATGGTAGAGTGATTTTTTCTCTACAAGGGCTCAGCTCCCCAGGTAAAAAGACATTGCTCCTGATGCAGGGTTGAGGATTTTCCAGGTAGGGCATGGAAGAATATGGAGGGAAGAGAATTGAGGTATCAGTAAAAGAGTGGTTTAAAATAATTATTCACGTATCCAGGATAGGTAGAAAGAAAGTGAAGGTAAGAGATATAAATTGAGAGAAGATAAAAATGTCAGGAGTCCTGCATCTCGTGATGAGGTTGGCGAACAGGTGAGATGGGAATAAAGGGGTGAAAATTAAAGACAAGATGTTCCTTCCTTAATCTCAAAACTCAGGGAAGGCCTCCACTGTGTGCTTCTGTAGTTCATTCTCGGTATTTCCCTTCTTCAGCCTTCATCACTACTTTTAAAATTACTTTTCCTTGTCTTTCCTCCTGCTAAACTGTAGCTCTATGAGAACAGAGGTTCTGTTCGTCTCGTTCACACTTAACAGTCCCAGTGGTCCTCATGGAATCAAGCACATGAGAGAGGGTCGGTAAATGTTTGTTCAGTAAACAAATGAAGTAGTCAATGCTGTTGTCATTTGAGACTGTGGAATGAGGAAAAAAGATCCAAGATATGGTCTTGAGCTTGATGGTTGAAGCAGAAGGCCAGAGTTGACGCCTAGATAGAATGAGAAAAGTATTGGGTGTATAACCCAAGATAATGTTGGGACTTGTCAGGAGAGACAGTCAAATACTAAACTTTTTGATAAATGCAAGGCAATGTTTAGGAGGTTGGTCATAGAAGGAAGTGTTAAAGAGTTGTCAGAAACTTCAGAGAAGGAAGGGTTTTATGAGAGAGCAGAAAAACAAGGGTTTGGAAGAGGCAGCAAGGAGGATATG